AGGCAAATGGAATCTTCTTGAAACCTCCAAAAATCTTATAAACTTCATGTTTTGAATTCGGATGAGATACCGGATAGTGGCACCAACTTGTTGGATTATATCCAACGTTCAAATTCCCATGTGGCAGTCTATGAGAAACCAGACGTAGTCATCAGATTCATTTTTGGGATTCTAATTTTTTCTATCATCATAAACAGGATCTCTAGGGTCCTATTTATTTCACACTTCAAAATCGCAACCCTCTCTCTCTCATTAAATCATGAGGTTTACTCTGAAACTTACAGCCCTAGAATGGCATGAAAACCCTTCAAGGATATGAGTCATTATGTGCATTTTTGAACAGTCAAATACACAAACAGCAGATTGGTTTTAGTTTTATGCACTTGTCTTTTAATTTGTCCAACAACTGGAGAGACTATGTCTACCTTTCTTTCATTAGTCATGATAGTGAATCATCAAACTGATTTATGAAAGAAACCTATAATTGGTTAACATTTATCATTTACGATGAACGAACATATAAATCTCATTATTATTTACCGGTTTATTTGTGTTAGATATTATAACAATTCAATATTAGGTCTTTATACTAATCGTCGAAATATTATTTTGTAAACGTGTTCCTGTAATTTTCTATTGAAAACTATGGAAGTCTTTATTTGTGTTAGATATTATAACGATTCACTTATTGTATTTTACAAACAATCACAGATCCATAATTGTATGTAAACGTGATAAGACAACTTTTTAGAAAAGTTAATGGCCCAACAAATGTATCTCTTAACAAGTTGGATCCGCCCATGTATCCTCCAGTTCTAACATGTTGGATCCGCACATTATTGCAATTACAAATATAAACATTGATTAAAATCTCCGAATCAAACTTAATGGTTCATCAATAATATTGGGCTGTTTTTTTTTTTTTTAAAACAATTTCAGATTTTTTTTTTTGCTGTGTTTTGCAGAACATGTAAAACACTTGCTCTTTTGTAGCTTTTTGTTTTTTAAAAAACTTCAGACCTTAAACCAATGCGCGTGTGATGTGTCGTACAACACTGGACCTCCTCTTTAAACTATTTCACTTGATTTTAATTTAATTCATATATTTTTTTAGATATATTACAACTACTTCAATAAATTTATGCATTTATAATTCACATTCATACGTTGCAAGAAAAACTATTAAAAATTTATTTATATGATAATAATATATTTTTAATATACAATTTAAAATGGATTTTTAGAATATATATATATATATATATTTCAATCTACAGTCCTGGCCTAAAAACTTTGAAATTTTGCGTGATAAATTAGATGGGTGTTTAGGTATGTGTCTTAAAAGTGGATATGTATGGTCGAATAAACATGCTCCTAATGACAGATTGATGATGTTTTGAAGTTCAAACATATATTTTTTGGGAGATTATTCGTACACAACAATTTTTCTCCGTACACAACAATTGATGTTTTAAAATGTTGTATTGTACAACTATATAATGCATGAATTTTTGTATGTGACAAAAAACTATTGTGTACGAATCACTTCTTATACTTTTGTGGCATAATGACAAGGAAAAAAAGAGCATTCAATAAACTAAAATAATCAAATTGCTTGGTTTTATTAAATGTGATCACTCTTATCTCTGTTCGAAATGACAACCATTCTACAGTAAACAATTTTCCAATTCCGAACAAGCTTTAATTCCATTTTTCCATTATAAATGCTTAAAGCATTAGTTTTTTTTTAACCGGCAAATAGAAGGTAATCCGACCCGATGGATCAAGAATACCTGGCGGGCCACCAAGAGGGGCACCACTCACCACCAAAGGGAACGAAGAATCGAACTCACGCCAATCTAAGGAAAATCCTCCAAATGTGCTCAGCCAAGAGTAGAACTCTTGACCTCACCCACTGAGGCCTATAACCCAGTATGCATCACAACCAGCTAGGTTGGTGATCACTTGCGCTTAAAGTATTAGTTGAAAGGACATTTTTATTTAGAAGTCTTTTATTTTTAACTAACACTAATTCTTATTAATGGATCTACTCAACTTCCACCAACCACCTTATCACCATATATTAGGCCACACGGTATGGTGATATTTCACCGTACGGTTTGATGATTAGGACAAAAACCGCACAAAGAAATATCATATACTGGGTGCGGTTTAAATGAGGATATTTTCTATGTGGGATAGCCTTCTTGGACTCTCTCCTTTTTTGATTGGCCAACAACTAATAAATGTTTTTTTTTCCTTTTTTACTTTTTATATATACTAAAAAATTGTTATATATATATATATATATATATATATATATATATATATATATATATATATATATATATATATATATATATATATATTAAAACTTATAGTTTTTAATTATCTACAAAAAAAAATATACTATTAGTATAAAATATATTTTTAAAATAAAATTAAAAATGAGAGAAAAAGGATTATGACTGTTTTTTGGTTTTGAAGAATTAGAGAAAAATAGAAGGAAAATAAGAGGGCACAGATAAGATGGTACATAGGTGCCAAAGGAAAAGCGAAAGGTGAAAGATAATTACATCATCCGATTTACCTTATTATCACATTGCCACTTGTGAATTTATTGGAATTATCACCTTCCACCATATCCAACATTATTAAATATGTTAAAACCATAGCAAAATTCACAGAAAATGCACACTAACACGTTAATTCTCTTGATAGCTCAAAAAGATAAATTAGTTTTTCACTCACTCAATGTTTTCTTGGAAGTCGAAAATCATATCCAGATCTAACTGTCCTCTAAGCTCCTCCAATAGATGCATGCCCTAGAAGATGCCTAGAGATATGAAGAAAACGGTACTTGTCAGAGAAGCGGAGCATGAAAACTTGAAAGTGAAAAGAAATGATAGTATATGAGCTATTAAAGAAAAGAAAAAAGGGATAGTTGACACCACATAAATATGAATCAAAACAAGAGTCGGCAACAATCGGATCCATATAAAGAGCCAAAATTGGTTCGAATCATATCGTTTCAATTTTCGAAATATCATTCCATATCAGTTGTGATTCCAAAAGCGAGTAGTCAGTTCCAGTGATAAACCCTAGTAGATGTAGTAGCATATGGGTCACCATGATGAATTAAATCAAGACTAGGGAAACATTGAGATAAAAAACTTCATGTTCAAAATGTATTGAGATAAAAAACTTCATGTTCAAAATGTTTTTGTTTATCAAAAGAACTAAGTTCAAGCTAACCATATAAGCAAGATTCATGTTAATTTCATTACTTTGACTTTTCGGATCTTGAGGTTGCGAATCAATATTTGCAAAAATGTCTTCCAATAAAAATTGATGAATATTTGTGGTGTGTGGTTTGCCATCATTTTTTTCTTGTTGGAGCGTCAGTATATTATTTATTGGGATAATTCATTTATATCCTTGGAAACTTTAAATATCACTTCTGTATCTTTATAAAATTATATATATATATATATATATATATATATATATATATATATATATATATATATATATATATATATATATATATATACACACTAGTTTATAACCCGTGAGAACCACGGTTATAAAACTAATTAAATTTTTATATTAAAAAATCAAATTTATTAATCAATTATTTTAAATAAATTATTATTTAAGAAATATTTTTTAGTTATATAAAGGGATTTATACTTAATGATTTAAATAAATGTGTGAAGTTATATCACCTTATAATCTATATTAATTTTATTTTATTTTTCAATCTAATGTTATTAATTTAATATAATTAAAGTGAAAAATTAAAATTTAGAAATTTAAAATGAGGAATCAATTATTAATTTAATGTAATTAGAGGTTTAAAATTTAAAATTTGAAATTGATAATTAATAGATTAACAAGTGGCATGATAGGTGATATATAACATTAATGAGTAGTCCTAATTGTATGATACTTGTCAATAGGAGATTAAACTTATTCTTTTATTAGAATAGGGATGTGCTTCGGAAACTATAAAACTCATGTTTATATCCAAACTTAATTTTTAATTTGGATTATATCAATTTAATATTAATCTAAAATTTAAAATTCTATTTTTTTTTTTCGAAAATACCCTTTCCAAATTCAATCCTAAACTAAAGAATAGACATTATGGGTATCTCTGTTTTCTCATTCAATTAATATGTATATGTAATTCCGTTTATCATCTTCAGGTAAAGTTTTAATGGAGGAGCTATTGAATTCTTCTTTTAACCATTACACAGGCTTTGAGAATGGATACAAATCGACCTTGAGGATAGTATCAGTGGCATGTTATATATGATCATGGTATTGGCTATAATTATGTATGAAATATATGATTCCTCCCACCATATAAAATAATAGGATCAAAATGGAAGATAATAAGATATTTTCTAAGCAATTGAATACAATGAGTAGTCATAAGTTGAAGATACCACTAGGAACAATTGGCAACCAGAAGTAATTGACGACAGAAAGTAAATTACGTCAAAGGAGTTTAGTAATTTTTAATTAGGTTTAATCCCAATTAAATTTATGTGATGCTAATCTTTAATTTGGAAAGGGTATTTTGGTGCATTCATATTGAAATTTGATTTCCAAATAAGTTTTTTAATATTAACTTAATTTAAAAGTAGTTGTGAGACCTATGTATTACATTGGTTAATTTTTTTTAAAAATTAAATATAAAGATCAAAATATTTAAGAATTTTGAATTTATAAAAAAAATAAGAAAAATAATGATTTATTATAATGGAAATGTTTTTTATCTTTTAAATTTGAACGAATAATTTAATTAAAGAAAAGTAAGTAATAAGTTTTAATTTTGGAATTTTGAAATTAAAAAGTAAGTTTATTATTAAATTTATTACTTTATTTTATTTATTGAAATCGTTTTGATATAAATGAGCCTGTTTATTTTCCAAAATATGTTTTAGTGTGAAGATATAAGCCCAACCCAATTATGCTGTCATCGCCGGCGGTGAATACGAGCTTGATATTTTCCGTTGACAAGGATCGACGGAAAAGAAAAGGTGGTAAATGCCATCATTGCTGCTTCATCCTAAAGTTTCTTTACAGTCAAAAAGATCCCAGAATTCTTAAAATAAAGGCTTCAAACAAATATATTACAAGCTTTTGCTGTTGCTACTTGATTGATCTGATCAAATTTACAGACTTTTTCAATACCTTTCATGGCGAATAAGCCTGAATCATTCCAATTCCAGCACAATCCCCTAGAATTCCGAGCTCCACCGCCATCGCCGGTAGCCTCTGGCCGCCGATCTTCAGTCGCCAACGATGAGATTCTCACAGAATTTCTTCACCACTCGCTCCGTGTACCTGATCTTGTCCTACCGGATCGCGTCTCCCCTCGTCAAAAGCTAAAGATCCAGGAACTTCCTAAACTAGACTACAAAACACTGGACTCGTTGGAAGATCATAGCATCACCAACATTTTTGATGTGATTGGACAAACCGGTTGCTTTGAGCTTGTTAACCATGGAATCTCCAATCAACTCGTTCGTTCTGTAGCCAAATATGGCGAAGGAATATTCGAATTATCACCGGAGAAAAAGGCTGTGATGTCAAGATCTGCTGACAGGATGTATGGCTTCGAGGAGTTTCATGGAGAAGAGAGGGAAGCAAGTGAAGAATTCGTATGGTGTAGAGACGATGCGTTGAAGTCGGAAATGGAGGCAATTTTGCCTCTTCAATATTCAAATTTCAGGTAATGATCTCTTCACTAACTCATTTCATTCAAATTAAAAACATGAATCCAGAAATTAAACACTTACAGCGGAAACCTCGAGATCCTTACTTCCGAAATCGAAAAGATCTCTGGAATTATCTTAAAAGTTCTGCTCAAGAACACTCCACTAAAATCAGAATCCGACGATGATGATGCAAGCGAGAAACAAATTGCTGGAGTTATTTGCTACTTCCATAAGCACCATGAGGATCTCAACAGAATCACAAACGATGATCACTACACGAACAATTTGACATATGACATGATCCGAATGCTGATTAGAGGATCCGAACACTCTCACACGCTATGCGTTCACGCATGCCATGGATCCTCCGAGTTCAATGTTTATTCGAAGAAAGGTTGGGTATCGTTTCGCCCAGAGAAAGATGCATTGGTCATCACCATTGGTGATCAGTTGCAGGTAAAACTGACCATATTTTATTCGACCTTTAAATACTTTTTGTTAACTTCCTAACAAAACTTCTATATTTTATTTATTAGAATTTAACAATAAGTCATCAAACACAATCAAAATCACGTATACATAAATAAATCAGAAATTTTCACATTTTAAATGTGTATAACTGTATACTGAAAATTAAAATTACACTCTTGTTGTCACTAATACCCTCTTTTAGTCAAACTTTTGAAAAATTTATTTCAATAGTCCTCGTGGTTCCAAAATGCTACACGGTTGGTCTTTTCGGCTATTACTATCAATGGGCCTCTATTAAGTATGTGTAAAATGACCAGCTTCTGCTCGAATCTAATTCAGAAAAGCTATAAACTAATGACCTAAACTTGTACTCTAGAATGTCTCGTTCCTTTTTCGCGCATAAAAACAGACTTTCATCTTCGGCAATCGCCTTCACCTCTGGCTGTTGCCTCTCTACTTCTCCCACAATGGCTTAACCTCCACCGTTATCATTCTCCTCCTATCATCACCAGAGGCGGATCCAGACAGAAGGTCAACTGGGGTCCGTTAGTGAGAGCATTTTCCGGCGATTTTGAGTAGTTTCCGGTAGTTATCGGCAAGTGTAGCAGTTTTTGACAGTTTTAAACAAGTTTGAGCAGTTTTCTGGCCGTTATTAGCGCTTTGCAGCAATTGGGAGTGATTTCCGACGACTTGGCGGTTGTATCCGGCTTGTTTTCTTAGTGTATTTGAGCACACCGGCAGTTAGATTAGGCTAAAAATGAATGAATTTGTTATTTCTTGATGCAAGTGGTGTCTGTCTTTTTGTAAAGTGGGGCACAATCATATATCTAATAACTATAAATGCAAAGAAGTTAGATGTATATAAAAGGTTTAATCACTCCAAGTGGGACCATACACCCCACTTCACAAAATGGTAGCTCCACCGTTGATCATCACTAAACATGTGTCGCCTCTCCTTCTAATGATGAAAACGGGATGGAGAGAGGTTGGTCATCACCGTCCCTAAGTCCCCATCCCTAACCGTTGTGAGGAATCAAATCCTCACCCCTTTGGAAATTGGAAACATCCCCGGTCAGTACCCAACACATCAATAAAACTTATGGTAGAGACATTTAATTAAAAAAAATCTTAATACATAATGCATTAACTTACTGAAAAATAAATGTGAATTCTAAAAATTCTAACGGTTTAAAAAATCCCCTTAGATTAATATCATTATAGACTCAACAACATCATTATATTCAAATGTTTGATTAAAATTCTTCATTTTTTCTTGTTTTAATCGCAAATTTAAAATCATAATAGAAACATTATAACATCCCAAAAATTACAAAGAGATTTTTATTTTTAAAATAGATTAACCAATTTAATATTTATTTCAAAAATCATTGAATAACATTTGATCAATTGAAAACAATACGTTATCAAAATTAAGTTTACAAAAATGTGGAAACGAATATCTTTGATGCGAGTATACAGTCATGTCGAGCTCTTATCACGAATAGTCTTCAATATTTTTACTCCATAACTGTAAGCATAAATCTTAGTGAGTTCCCTAGTATACCACATATTCCACAATACATACTATGCATCCACATACAATCCTCGACTCTAACGTCTAGCAACCAAAACTCTTATCCACATACATATATCATACGTAACGAGCCAAGCCCAAGAGTTCATGGACCCAATCCAACACCCATAATGGGTCCCGTCCAAACATACATAACGGGCCTCGCCCAACATACGTAACGGGCCACGCCCAACCATACATAACAAGCCCCACCTAAAAAATAAATGAGCCTAACCCAAACTCCTTTGCCAGGAGCTACATCCTGATCTTCCGTACTATTGTTAGGGGTCAGATCTTGGTCTTCCATACAATGTCAAAGCCATACATAGTCGAAATTAGATAGACATTCGAATAGATTATCCACCTAAAAGCAATAAACCAGACAAGAACCATGTAGTCGGGCATTAGAACAAGAGTTCTCAGGTTGTCCAACTTGATTGCATACAATCTCTTAGGGTAAATATACAACAACCAATAAATACTATCAATACTCTAACCAATGTTGACACCTAGCAGTATCAAATAAATCTCAAACAAGACTTTGTCAGTCTAGCATACCAGGACACCAAGTGACCTAAGTGCATAAGGATAACAAGGAGTTAACCTAGTCAACTAGCAAACTCGTACTCTAACAGTACATATATCCTACCATGCAAAGGATATATAAATGGGATATGTGGCATAGTAAAAAACTCACATGAACGGAAGAACCAAAGAAGCACAACAACATTCTTACACCTTGTACTACTCAATCCCGCAAAATAACTAACACCAAAAGAGATAAATCCTCAATCACAATCCAAATCCTCTAAGTTTGACCCCAAGTCAAACTTGTCAATGGTCAACGATACACAAAAGTCAATTGTTAAGCGAGTCAACAACTACCACAACGTGGAGACCTATTGGCCACGTCATGGGCATGTTCAGACAAAACAAACGACATGCAGGAGACCACCACATCGTGGCAGGTTCTTGGCTACATCGTAGTTTCTGGTCAAGAGTCAAAATCTTTATTAAGCACTTAATCCTTTCAGACCAATACTCAAAACTTCAAATATACTTATTCTCAATGACTTAACGGATAAAGTTTCCAAATTTATCCAATAAGACGTCACCATTAAGTAAGATCTTAAACCCTAAGTCCAAAACTTCATAAATCCTACACCAAATACACATAGATCCAATGACAAGGTCAAGCTACCAACTTTCCATTAAGAAAAGGTCCAGAACACAATCCTTAGTGGATAGAAGGGGTCCGAGTCATCTAAACTCCAATCACACCACCAAAAAGGGACTATAGTCCATCATAAATATGCTAAAAGCTAGATCTAACAAACTAGAAGCCAAGGTTGAAGCTATATACTCACAATGGTCTAGAAATAAAGTCACTTTTCTAGATTTACACTTGATCTCTTCACCAAAACACTTTGCAAGCAACTTGACCTTTAAGCTCAATACCAAAACAACGAGGAATGAACCTTCATGTGGCCAGAACACCTCAAGAAC